CCGTGACCACTCGCGACCTATCCACATTGGCTTAACGAATACATCGGCGCCTGCAGCGGGCTCGTTGTATGATTTGTGAAATTTTGGCGCCTGCGGCGGGCTTCTCCAGAGTCTCGCAAACTGCCGACGTCCCCACCGCCCACTCACTCTTATACGTCTCTGCGGGGTGCTACGTAAGGAAAAGGAATGGAGGAGGAGGAGGAGGAGGAGGAGGAGGAGGAGGAGGAGGAGGAGGAGGAGGAGGAGGGGGGGCTCTGGATGCCGGACCGCTCCTTACATCCAGGTCGGGGAACCGCTTCGTGGCAGAGGCTCGCCGTGGACAGAGGTCAGCTTATCGCTCACAATATTCAGCGTTCCTGATGTGAGCAAGCAGGCTCCTCCTCCTGCTCCTCCTCCTCCTCCTCCTCCTCCTCCTCCTCCTCCTCTGCCGAGCAGTTGGTTCGCGTTGGTCTGCAATGCTGGTTGTTTCTGGCCTTGGGGCTCTTACAGATCTCCGGGAGCGTCATGGGAGCCTCGTCGGGCCACATTTGGGCCGCCGTATTGCAGCGATCGAGTGCATTATGGGGCACGCCTTGGGACATCTGGGCTGTCTTGGGCCCCTCTGGGGGCTCTCTGTGTGTTGCTTGGTCATTATGGGGCTGTCTCTGGGCTCGTCTTCGGCGTGCCAGATGACAAGTGTTGTGTGAGTTAAGCTGCGTGAGTCTGGGCCCATTGTCAGGCCTCTTCGGGCATCCTGGGGGTGTTCCAGAGGCTTCCTTGGCAAGGTTTAAAGTAAGATTGGGTTGGGCCGTTTCGGAAGCCATCTTGGCAGTCCTGTATGCCATGGATACTCGCAGGGAGATGCCGCTCCGCCCACAAAGTCTCGGGAGGGATGAGGGCATGCAAGACCTTGCGATGAGGAGGCGGAAGGAGCGGACCTGTCCAATTGTCTGAATTATCGAAGACGCCTACGTCGAATCACCGCCGCCCCCTGCCCTTGTGGAAGCGCTGATGTGGCCAACAGCTGGGCTAGAGCTTGGCCAAGCTATCAGGCCAGCTGTTCCCCGAGTCGGTTTGGAAAGCCTTCGGGGAACGCGTGGGGGAGGAAGAATTCTGACATCGCCCACCTGTCCGAGCGTTGTGGCCAGAGCTCTGCCAACCCACCAGACCTTGTATTCCCCCAACCGTTGTGGAAACCGTTCGGGGAACATTTTGGGGAGGATGGCGGGGAAGATCAGGAGAAGGATAAGGAGGAGAAGGAGGAGGAGGAGGAGCAGAAAGAGGAAAAGAGGAGGAGGAGGAGGAGGAGGAGAAGGAGGAGGAGGAGGAGGAGGAGAAGGAGGAGGAGGAGGGGGCATCCGTCAAGCCTCTTGGGGCACTCTTGGGGCCTCCTGGGAGCTTCCTGCCTCTTGGAGGCATCTTAGGGGGCCTCCTTGGGCATCTTGGGGGCCTTCGGGGGCTTCTCGGGGGCCTCCTTGGACGTCTAAGGGCATTCCTGGCCCGTCCGATGCCGTGGGAAGCAGTCTTTGGGGCCTCTCCGGGCCGACTTGAAACCCTCTTGGGGTACTCTAGGGCCGTCTTGGAGGCCATCTTGGCGTCTCGGAGGCCCTCTTGGACCGTCTTGTAGCCCTCTTGGGGGCCTTTTGGACCATCTTGGGACGGTCTTGGAAGCCTCTGGGGCCATCTTGGAGCGTCGGAACATCGAACAACACAAGGATAATCAATAATGCTGGCCTCTTTGGGCCCTCTTGGGGGTCCTCTTGGAGCACTCCTGGGGTTTCTTTGAGGCATCTTGGGCCGTCTTAGGGCCATATTGGGTGTCTTGGAGCGCTCTTGGGCTTTCTTGGAGGCCTCTTGGGCCCTCTTGGGCGCTTTCTGGGGCCCAGTTGACCCGTCTTGGGGCCATCTGGCTGGTGAGAAGTCACGCGGGGCAGCCCCGAAACACTCGGGAACGCCCGGGAAATTTGAGCATGTTATTATAATCCCAGAGTCCTGAGCACAGAGAACAGAGGACACATGAGGACCTGAGGACACTCCACGTCGTGCTTCGAGGCACGGTGGCGGATCAGGCAGCACCGGGCATTCCACCCCGCATCAGCGTGCCAGAGACCGCAGTGGCAGACATGAGATGTTTGGTGTTGAGACCGTCGTTGGGGATGTTGCCGTCTTTGATTTGGATCTGGGTCAGCAGCACTTGATTCACAACCCCGCATGCGGAACCTCACAACGTCGTCAGTAAGCAAAGCTGCATCGAATGCTGTGAGCATGCCAGCGTGTTCGAACTCTGGAGTTTTGTTAACCGCGTCCTAAAGCTGGAGCTCACTGACCTTAATCTTTCAAACGAACGCACGTTCAAACAATATGTGTGGGGATCTGCATGCCCTAATCAGGCTAATAGGGCAGGCCCACGCCGCTGACAATCCTGGTGAGTTTGGCGATTTGTCGCACCGTAGGCAGATCGCTGCCTGAGGTGTGCGGAACGTGTGGCATCCTCTTCGACGCCGTCGCCCCTCACTTCTGAGCTTACCGCGGCGTAGGCATCGCATTGTTGCGCAGGACCTTATCACACCACCACCACCACCACCACCACCACCACCACCACCACCACCACCACCACCACCACCACCACCACCACCACCACCACCACCACCACCACCACCACCCCTCATCAATGCATTATCGCTTATATATAATGAGTATATAGACACATTGATGAACGCATACACATCTATGATATACACGTCGATCCATCGCGCCACGTTTCCTGGGTTGTGGCCCAGACGTCTCTTGGATGCTTGTGGGGGTCTCTTAGGATGCCTCTCGGGGGGCTCCCGGAGGCCTCTTGAGGTGCTCCTCGGGCGCCTCGGGGAGGCCTCGGGGAGGCCTCGTCGGGGTCTCTTGGGGCCTCCTGGGTTTTTTTCTGGGGTGCTCTTGGGGCATGCTGGAGCCTTTAGAGACAATGAATGCTTCGAGAGCTCAAAGGCCCTCTTCGCGTACCCCCTCTCGGGGGGCTTTTTGAGGCCTGTTGGGGCATGCTGGAGCCTTTAGAGACAATGAATGCTTCGAGAGCTCAAAATGGCCCTCTTCGCGTACCCCCTCTCGGGGGGCGCTTCTTGAGGCCTCTTAGGGCCCTCCTGCGGCCCTCTGCAGGGCCGTCTTGGGGCCCTGTTGGATGCCGACTTTTGGGCCTCCTCGGCACGTCTCGGGGTGCTCCTGGGCCGTCGTCGGGCCCGCTTGGGACCCTCTTGGGCCGTCGTGGAGCTCTCTGGCTCCGAGAGAAGTCGCGCGAGACGCCCCGACGAGATCTAGCAATTGGGGGCCTGAGCCAGTATTGATGTTTTCGAACTGAGAAAAAGAAGAAGCAACACACAAAAGCGACAAACAACAAAGGGGCTCCACTCAGTGCCCTGCGGCACGGTGGCGCGGGGGTCCACGGGTCCCTCCGCAGGACTCGAGGCCTTAGGGAGAGCGCGCCAGAGACAATTTCGGCGGGCCTGCGGGGGCCCGGAGACGCCCAAGATTGCCCTACCAGCGCCGAAGAGGCTTGCCAGGATCGCCGCCTGGAGGTCGCGCTGTGTGCCCCAGACGGAAAAAACATACATTCTTTCCTCGAGGTAAGATCTGAGCTTTCCCGCGCTCGTGGTCTGTCGCAGCATCCACGACGACACACGAGGCCTCCAAGATCGCGTTGCAGCCCACCTATTGCCACTGATGGCTCCGCAAGGGTCGAAGAGGCTTGCCACAACTTTTGCGAGATCCCAGAAGGATGCGCCTGAGGCCCCTCCATCAGACCAAATTCACTAAACGTCCGTACTTTCTTGAAGGAACTCAACATCTTTGCCGTTCGGCATGAAGAGCGTTGTCGACGGCCCACGAGGACTCCGAGATCGCCCAGCGATGGTCCAACAACGGGCCGTGCGATGGTCTCCAGCGAACCAAAGAGAGCCCCACGATGATCCAAGACGACGTCAAGACACCCAAGACATACAAGATACCCCCAAGACGACGTCAATCCACCCCCAAGACGACGTCAAGACAATGCGACGTCAATATACCCCCAAGAGGACATCCAATATACCCCCAAGACGACGTTAATATACTCCAAGACGACGACATCCAAGATCAATAAGACGTCAATATATTCCCAAGACGACGTCAAGACACCCAAGAAGGCCACGATAGCCCAAAGATGACCCAACATGGCCACACGAGGATCGAAGAGGCTTGCCAAAAGCTCTGCGATGGCCCCAGGAGGAGGGGAATCCTCCGGATTCCCTAAGGATTCCTCAAGGAATCCGAAGGATTCCCGAAATACTCCTAAGGATTCCCTCGGGATTCCCAAGGATTCCGTCAGACGCCCAAGGGATTCCGAAGGATTCCCTCGGGATTCCAAAGGATTCCCTAGGGGTTCCTAGGGGATTCTCGCAAATAAATTGGTGAGCTTGTGGAGGCTGGCTGGTTTCAGCTTCCTCGCCACTTCGAGCGTTCATGGCGGCAGCATGGTCCAAAAACGGGGCCGCGATGTTCTCCAGCGGGGCCAAGGGAGCCCAGAGAGGACCCAACAGCACGCCAAGATGGCTCCAAAACGGGCGCCGGAGTCCCTGATGTTGCCTCGAGGGGTCCAAGACTGCGCCAGCGAGCCTTCGTGGGAGCTCGCGGCAGCCCCGGGGTGTACACAGTAGGCCGCGCACCCCACGGAAGGCTCCTCCTCACGGGGCTCCGAGAGAGTCCCCCAGAGAGCCTAAAACATTTGCAGTTTGCACTAGATGGCGCCTTCGCTACTCCGCGATGCCCACAGTCACTCCCAGGTGTAAATGCCCCCCCGGTGGTTTTATGAAACGGAAGCCCAGCGCGCTACAGAACACGTCCGCGAAGCCGAGCGGTTCAGAACACGTCCGCTCTCCATGCCTATTTTCCTTTCCTCTCGTGCCGCCCCTCCCTCTCTCCTTTGTCCTCCATCCCCCTGCCTCCCTTCGGCACCCCTCTTTCCTCTTCCACTGTCTGAGCTACAGCGTGAGATCCCAAGAGCAGACACGCCCAAACCGCAAAAGTATGCCTCTTGCTCGGGCCGGGAAAATAGGGGATATCCCCAGTGGCCAGAGCAGCGATGTCCCGACTACCGTGGATACCAATTCTTTCGGGACCACACTGCTTCCGCCGATGTCGATGTCGTCGTGGTGCCGCTGCTGCTGATGCAACTGTCGCAGCTGCAGCTGCTACTGCAGCTCCTGCCGCCACTGCCGCTGCTGCTGCTGCTGCCGTGCTGGTGGCGCTACCACGGGGAGTACGGAGTACCACGCGTGCCAGGAGTACCCAGGGGTGCTGGGAGTTATGATGTTCTAACAGACTTTAGCCTTGATCATCAAAAAGAATTTCGTGCATCAGGAACGTACCGAAACTTGAGGGTTTTCACGTTTCGGGCCCTGGGAGGCGATACTCGTGTTTCGATACTTTTCTGAGCGCTCGAAATTCCCCAATCAGTGCTTGCACTGAAGGGGTCCTAGCGGAAGTTGAAAGATTTGGCGAAAGTTTCCCGCCGATTTTGGTAGCAGGCTGGGTTCCCGGGTTCGAGGTTCCGGGTTCCCGGACTCCTGGTTATTGGTTCCGGGCCGAATTCGGTGGGTTTTGGGTTCTCGGGCTCCTGGGTTCCCAGTCGATCTCCTCCCATTCGCTGGTTGGGGTTTTCTCTGGTGAACTTATATCTGGGATGTGGTCCGTAAGCACGATGGGAGCAACAAAAGGTGGGAGGTGCTGATCGGGTTCCAGCCGCCCCCCTTGTCAGGCGTCTCGGTTCCAGGAGTGGCCGGCTCGTTTCCAGGATTGTGACTGTGTTGCTCCCATCGCACTTAAGGACCACATCCCAAGAATAATTTCGAGCACCCAGAAAAGTATCGAAACAGTGTCGAACGAGTATCGCCTCCCAGGGCCCGAAACGTGAAAACCCTCAAGTTTCGGTACTTTCCTGGTGCACAGAATTCTTTTTGGTGATCAAGGCTAAAGTAGGTTGGAACATCATAATTCCATGAGTCCTCGGCTCAAGGCCACCAATTCGGTTCGGACCCTTCATGGTTTGTAGGTCGGTCCCAGGAGACTCGCGAAATGGACGGGCCTCGCACGGAGCGGAACTCGCACGGACGGAGCTCGCACGGGGCGGAACTAGCACGGAGCGGAACCCGCACAGGACGGAGCTCGCAAGCGCGGAGCTCGCACACACGGAACTCTCACGAAGAGGAACCCGCACGGACGAAATTCACACGAACGAAGGTCGCATGAGGCGGAGTTCGCACGGGCGGCCACGCTCAACGACTCCGCGTGCGGTGGAATTCGCAGCGTGTGAGTTGTTTGCGTGCGAGTTCAGTATGTGCGACTTCCGCTCGTGCGAGCTTCGCCTCGTGCGACTCCGTCCGTGCGAGTTCTGGTCCGTCCGTGCGAGCTCCGTCCGTACAGGCTCCGGTGTGTGCGTTCCTCGTCGCGCGAGGTCCGCCCGCGCCAGTTCCGCGCGCGCAGGTTTCGCACGGTCGCCCCAGCGGGCAACGAACCGCGGCACAGCCATGATTCACCAGCCTCGAACTTATCCCTATCCCTAAGATTGACTCGCTAAAAGGAGATGACAATCTTAGGGATGCACCCTTTGAAATTGAGGAAATCCCTAAGATCGCCATCGTGCTGAGGCGATGCCCAACATAGGGATAAGGATATGTTCCAGGCTGGTAATAGATACAAGGATTGGGCGAAGGAAGAATTTTGCAAGGCGCCCGCAAGAACTGTGGCCGATTCGTACGCAAGTGGCCGCACAATAGACGAACGAACACTGTCCGGGAGCGAGCGAGAACAGTAGAAGACTGTGGAATGCCCGCGCACGGTGCACATGACATCGTGGCACGTAGTCAAAAAGCAATCGGAATTTCGTTGGTACTTCTGAATTGTTGGTTGTGCAAAGTGGACCTGTGAAGACTTCAGCGGGGGCCTCTGGATGACTGTGGGGACCCCTGGAGACGCCCGGGGGCCTCCAAAATTTTCATCCTCCTTCAACATGTGGCAACGCACACCTCCACACCTCTCGAGGGGCGCGCCTTGACAGAAATTCCAGGGGGAGCCTGGCCGTGTCGACGAGAAGACAAACGGATGCCAAAACAACGCGGTAATGATTTGGGAAGGGGAGAAAGGCTTAAAGTTTTCAGGGTTCTGCTTGATGTTAACAGTGTGTTTTAAAGTCAAAAATTCGTCCCCGGCCCCGCCGTTTGAGACATCCTCAGAAAATGCCTGCTGGCTGGTAGGTTTGTTGGTTGGCCGCTTGGTTGGTTGGTTGATTGGCCCGCTTGTCGGTTTCGGTTGCTTGGTTGGCCCGTTGGCTGGCTGGTTGCCCAGATGGTTACGGGACCCAGTGGGTCGGTTCGTTCGCTGGTCAGTTTGTTGGCCAGTTGGCTGGCCCGTTGCTCGGTTGGCTGGTTGGTTGGTCGGTCGGCTGGTCGCCCAGCCGCCCGCCCGCGCGCCCGCCCAGCCGCCCGCCCGCGCGCGCGC